AGTCCCACCTCTCTGTTTCCTGTTCCTGTGTAAGAAATGTTTTCTGATTGGTTGTCAGACTCCCATGGGGCTACTCTCTAGGCTGTGTTTTGAATCCAGGTAGGGATTAACACGGTAGGGTTACACTGTGACTAATTATATTACCAGTAATAAATATATAAAGTAAATTTCTCTTAGTATTCTTTATTCTTTCTCTCTCTCCCTACCTCCCACCCACCCACCCCTCTCTCTCACACACGCACCAGAGTTATATGCGTGTGCAGGAGTGTGTGCAAGTTTAACAAATCTAATCCACTGAAATCAGTATTTTCTCTTTACTAAAAAATAAAATTAATTAAAAATCTAGGATTTCAATACAAAAACAGACCAAATGCTTTTTTAAATTTATCTATCACCAGGCTTTCTATTTATCCTGCTGCCAATATATTCCTCACAACAAACTGAGTAAACTATGATCAGTACTAAAAACAACAACCAATTTTGTTTTGTTGTTAGCATTTGAGGGTTTCTGGGGTAAGAGCAAAAGGAGGCCAAGGGGGAGGGGGGGAGAAAGAGCCAGTTTGCTAGCTTTTCTTAAAGGCATGAAAAGCAAACAATGAACAGTAACTGCCAAAAGTGAAGGTATTTAATTTTAACACAAGAAATTTGTCACAAAATCTACCAGACCACATGGTCTGATGACACTTACAAAGATGTCACCCAGTCAGTTTAAGAACAACTCCCCCCTCCCCAAGTGATCACAGCAGGGTTCCTTACAAAAGGCCAAGTGCTTATTTATACAAGTGGAGCCCATTTTTCACACTTCTTGTAAAGGAATGTGAATGTACATATGGACAATTTGCCTCTCCAGAGGAAATCCAATTAGAAAGCTTCCACTGCTTCTGCAACCAAAAATGATCTCTTTGTTTTAACAGACACTAAATTAACTGCCACCAAGATACTGGTACCTTGTTCTTGTTTTGGTTAATCCACCATACCTTGGGAAAAAACATTTTTTTTAAGTTTTAAATCCTAATTAGTGAATTATTAGCTACACATCTCTATGTTGCTTTTATTGGTTTCTTACAAGTAAAATTGGTTATCCAGGAAATTGGTTATCCAGGAAAACATGTACTGGTACTTATGAGGCCCTGCTAATAGTTATCTACTCAAAATTAAGTTCCTCTGTGTTCAAGGAGTTTTATTTGCAGACAACTTATATATGGTTATTGCTTTTCCTCTGTCTAAATAAAATACCTAAAATATCCATAAACAGCCAGACTGCCTTACTAAACTAGCCCTCAAATCAAGCCTGACTCCTTAAGACTTCATGGACACATCTATGCTGTTTTCTTCTGTTTTCTGCTTAAAAAGTACCTGAAATGTTTCAGTGGGACTGGGAGACATTCAGACAGCTGGATTTTATATTTTCATAAATGAGAGGGGGGGGGGCATTCCATATTTCTCTCCTCTTTCCAGAAATCCTTAAGAGTCCTGGTGCAACCTGACACTACTGAAAGCACCTGAAAAGGCTCTATTTGCATGTCTGTAGTCTACTCCCACATTCCATCTAAAACTATAATAAAATTCAGACATGGTTGAACATCTGCCAATTTTTCTCTCTCATTTGGTTTTCTAGTTTAATTTGTTTTTAAAAAAGCAGGGAGAGAAAGATCTTGCCTGATAAAGAATGCTTAAATACTGCACCTTTTGTGAACCGATACTTATAATAAACCTTGAAAAGTTTTTGTTCAAATGTTGTATACAATTAGGTCTACCATATATGAACTGGTTTGGGGTCTCTTTGTTATCATCTAGAAGTTTTCTGGATATTTACAATCTAAATATAGCGTTTAATAAAAATAAAGATTTTTTTAAAGTATTTTAAAAACCAATTATTCAAAATAATCTTTACATCACTTCTTACTTAGCCAATATTTATTTATTTTCTGTTTACATTCTTTGAATTTTCCTTCTCTCAAAGCTACAATTCATATATTTACTAGGAACAAGAGTTACTGCATACAGGGGAATTTACATTTGAATACACATTTACAACTATAATCATACATAGTTGATCCCATATGACTTACCATATGGTATGAATACACCAGTGTCTTTTTTTTTCAATAATTAAGGATAATTTCCAGAAGAGGCAATTGAACAGAATTAGCCACAACTAATTGAAAGACTTCCTATTTTAAATTATTTACTAGCTTCTGAACTGAAACAGAAAATTAATATTTCTAGAAATGATTGAAATGACAACAGATACAGAACAAATATACAACACTAGTACATTTCAATTACTTCTTGACTTTAAACGAATATAAACCATTAAGATTTTGTATAAGAAATCCCTACAGAATTAAACAATATCAAAACTATTGTGTCCATCCCTCATGCAAATTTAGGTATATTAATTTATCCCATTCTTAACAGAAATCTAAGTCAGATGGAGAGGGTGCCTAGTATAATACAGAAACTAATAGAGCAATTAAATAAAATCACATGGACAAAATTATTTAGAATCTTTATTATTTATTTAGAATTATTTAGAATACTTCACTTTTCCTATACAGTTCTCAGCATGCAAGATTGTTGCTCAGGAACTATACTGGACCCAAAGTTAGTTTAAACGCAAATAGAATTTTTTCTGTATCAGAAATAGGGAAAAATGGTCCTTAAAATATTTTTAGATTTCAGCTTCCATGATCCATAACTGTTGATTAGCAGTCATGGCGGTCACAATAAATCCATGTGAATATAGCATTGATTTGCTCCCTTACATTAGACATTCTTGTTGCTATTGCTTCTAAAAATTTGTATTGGTCCTAAAATTTAGGTTTGCCCTTCAATTTTCAAATGATAAGCAACTCCTGCCGAATAGTTATTTTAATCTGCCACTAGATAACATCAAAATCAAATAATAAAGTTTCTGGCACCTTAAAAGACTAACAAGTGAATTACTAAGTTAAAAATCATATTTCAGTTCAAAGTTTATGCAAGAACAGATTTGTTAGTTGTTATGTATCATACAAATGAGTTTTACTTGAAAGACTAACTTGGTTACTCCTCTCTCATCTCCTACATGTTCTGGTGCAATACATCAGAAGATCAACATATGTGATCTTTTCAAAACTGTGGTCTTTCTACTGGAATAGATGTAGACTTGACATGAACACTGGACTACAATCCACCTTTCAATGATTAATCATATATAAATCTATATTTTCCTTAGTTATCTAAATAGCATATTCCCCATTCAAAAGACCATTACAATGTATAAAAATGGCAAGACAGTATCCAGATATTGATGCATCTCCAAGGCCTTAGCTCTAGAAAGAGGGGAGCATGCAGGACTTAAGGTCCTTTGGGAGATTCTGGCTTCCTTCAGTTAGTAGATTTGTTTTCTACTTTTAAGCTAACAATTTTTACCTCTTTTTCCAACTCAGCTAGAGGCAGCAGAAACCAACAAATCACAACTGCAAGGAGCAACTCTTTGTTTTCATTCCTCTATATTTTCCTTCTATGTAATCATGGCGATAGATTCCTACATAATTGCCCCAACTCAATCAGATGTCAGTAGAAACTGTCACCATTACTGCCTTTCATTTTTCAAAGTGAGAAAAAGAAAGCCTTCCCTTGATCACTGATTTGCTCTTTCTAGACACAAAACAATTGGGGGACTGGTTCAAGCCCCAACTTCCATGGTGTCTTGAGAGTAAAATAGCTCTGCCAGACCTCCTGGGCCATCCCCTTTCCACAGGACTATTGAGAGACACAAAATAAGTAAATGCAGCTCCATTTGCACACAACAGGATATACCATAGTATCAGAGGTTGTTTCACATCTTAACTGCTTGCCCGCCTTTGAGTGAAAGGACCATTTCTATGATGCCTAGATGAGAAGTATATAGATGAGTAACTACGCTGTTTCCAGGTGATGGATAAGAATTATGGGAACTTGTTACCTTTCAACATGCTTGGGAGTCCAAATGGGAAAGGATGGCTTAACTGCTAATTCTATTGATGCTACTGTTAATCAGCATCTAGGACTGTGTCCCACCAACTTTCTCCCTGCAACAGGAAGTACCAAGACAACACAGGTAGACTGGATTAAAATGTTCTGGTTTGCTAAATCAATCCTATTGTCAGGCCTTGGACAACAGATAAACTGTCCATAGACTATCCACAAGGGTCCACATAAAGGGCTGAATCATAGTTTAGCCAAGGACATCTTAATCCAGTTGTGTAAATCCAGTCTTAACGGCCAGAAAGGTGCAGGACAACTCTACAAGATTATCTCCAATCATTGACCTAGAATCTCCATCCACACAGCCCAGGGATCAGGCTGCAGAAATCGACGGGAGAGGTGGGAAGCTGAGATATTTGTGGGGAAGGGAGCCATAGTGCTGAAGACTTCGTTCTAGTATCCTCTCCAGCGCCTCTATTTAGTAGGCTCAGGAGGGAAACTCTGAGCACCTCCTAGCGCCGGAGATCCGCGGCTCAGAGACGTTGCCAGTGCCCCACCCCCACCCAGCCCAGCAGAAAAGCTCCTATACTCACAGCTGCACCGTCCCGCTGGGGAACACCGCGGGGACTTCTCTCAGTCTGAGGCGGCTGCAATCCAGTCGTTTCCCCAGACAACGGCAAGGAGCCGAGCATTCTTGGGCCAGTCCTGCGAAGAATAGGCTGCAGCAGAAGAGCAGGAGTACTAAAAGTGGTGGCGGTGGCTGTGGCTGCATCACCCAGTGGCGCACAGAGGAGGAACCCATGGCAGAAGTCCCTCGTGCGTTCAGCACCTGGGGCTTTCGAGTTGGGCGAACGGATTGAAGTCGAGGCAGGGATTTGCCACTCTTGGGGCGCTCCCCCCACTCCCGGCAAATCTGCGGGTAAGTGTCTTCACAGCCCAGACAATTGTACTCAATTCGCCAAACTTTCTGCCGCTTCCCAGCGCCTGCCCGCACCGGCCGAGCCCGCCCCCTGCCATGTGATAACAACAAAACGGCGGGGTGGGGCGGATTGGCTGGGGAAAGACGGGGGCGCCCGGAGGAAGCGTAGCCCTGGCCGGGCGCCGGGAACGATCGGACGGAACGCTTTCCAGGCAGATGCCGCCAGAACGAAAGCCACGGAGCCATCTCAAACCAAAGGAAGAAACCCAGACTCGCTTGTGCAAACGTAGCCACAAATAAGCCTAGAAGGTGACAGAGAAAGTGAAGGTCCAGGCAATCTTAATGATCTTGATTTTAGTAAAGATTTAAATTTTAAGACACACAAAACCAGACACCACATAAATACTACACATGGAACAGCCCAGCGTACACATTCTGGAAAGAAAGAAGTTCCCTGAGGATAGGATCCAGCAGGAGTCCAAAAGCTTGTAGACCAAAACTGGTCCTGGTGACCTACTCAGATTGGATCCTTAAATTATTCAACATCTAAGTAGAGGCCATTCAATAAAAGTTGAATGATAAGTGCTCTTTCTGCTGGTATGAACCTGGGCTTGATTGGAAAGTTTTAAAACAGCGTTTCTTATTTTGAGTGTTGGCAAGGGCAATGACTCATGAATAAATGTTAATAGAGGCTTTAAGACATTCACGAAAAAGAACAGGGCCTCAAAGGGCCTTAAATTATTGAGAATTTAACCTAATTAAAAAACAAAAGCAAGAATGACTAGAAATAAGCTTCTCTTTTATTTGTATTTTAAAATAATTTATATCAATGGATAATATAATAAACTAAATGTATATTTTTAACGTAACGCGTTACCATACAAAAGGATTTAATAACTTGATTCTGTTCAGAATCCTCTCTAAACAACACGGGGGCTGCAACTTTTGGCCGGGCTGGTTCAATGAAACCCCTTGCTAGGTTTTTCTCAATGAATGCCCTCAGTTCTTCCAGCTCCCTTGGAGACATGCTATACATCTTGGGTTTAGGGAGTTTGGCTCCAGGTAGAATTTCTATCACATAGTCAGTGGAGCAGTGGTGGTGGTGGGGAGGTCATCAGATGCTTTTTTGCTAAAA